ATAACAGACAATTATATAGATTTTCAAACACTCATTAATGATTCATAAGCTTATTGGCAAATCATGCCAACCATAATATGTCACGTGAAGAGGCTTTATACCTGATAAAACTCATCTGCATTCGCATTCTTTATATAAAAGTCCATCCTAATTAATATTCTTTATATAAAGAATACTAATAAGACGGCATCCATTGTACTCGTGTTTGAAGCTATTCATATTGTGGTCGTGTTTTATGATAAAACACTCCTACGCGTGTTTTAATCAAATAGTACATCATGGCCTATATTCAATATAAACCACACTAAATTTCAAAACCTGCAACTGCACAACAAGGTAAAATGTAATGCCGCACTCGCTGGAAGTAAATGTAATATTGGTTGGTTTAAGTTCCCGCCCATCCTGCTTTTCCTGCAGGGTATAACTGTATCTCCAATAATGCCGTACTTGCATCATTGCATGCATATATAAATCTGGGGCCGGTTGTATAAAAAAGTGATTAAATTGAACTATAGTTAGTGGAAACGTCATCCAATAAGAAGCGCGTATTTGAGAGTTAATCAATATTTGACTACAAAATAATGATTAAAAAAGTGATTAAGAGTTTTATACAATCGGCCCCAGGTCAATATTATGTTAATAGTTCGGCAGACTTTGGCTTTGGTTTTTTACTTCCTGACTCGCAAACGACCTACTTTATTCTCAAATTTTGCCAATTTACAACATCGCGTTATACAATTAATAATATACATGAAAAAATTTCTCGATTCAGATTGGCTATAAGAGCAGTGCAATTTTTTCAAAATACAGTGCTAAAAAGCAAAATACAGTGCAAATAAGTGAAATACAGTGCAAAAAAAATGAAATGCAGTGCAAAAAGTGAAAATAATACAAAAACCCCAAACATTACGAGTGACAAAATTTTCTAATAAAATTGTTTGTATTAAAATGATCTATTTCGCATGTGACCTATATACGCATGGACATGACTGCATATTTTTTCAAGTATATTATTAAGGTTACCTTTGAGTGTTAATTTTGCCTAAAAATTTTTTATTGGTTTCCATGAAAACATTAGATTAGTTCTACTATCTGACCAAGTTTGGACGAAAAATGTTGAAAACTCGCAGAGTTATTTAATAAAATACATTTCGCTGCAATAAGAAAAACATTGAAAATGTAATATTCAAATTCAATTTTCTCCCGAAGAATTTTACGGCAATTACTGATTTTCAAACGAGTTGTTCTCCTGCGGGTTTTAATGAATTGTTCTCAAATTTTCACAGGAGATAGCTAAAGACGTCAGTTTCAAAATTGTGTTCGGCTTTGTTCTATTTTTATAATAATAAGGAGCAATTCACTCAAACGATTCAGAAATATATTCCAGTCGTCAAAGAAATCGCCATATCAGCGGAATGACGAAATAAACAAAAATTTCCGAACACAATTTTTTAGAACAACTATTTTACTGTATAAAAATGATATTTTCATAAATATATCTTAAAACCAGCAGGAACATAACTCAAAAGTGTAAAGGTACCGCGACTTAAGATTTTCCTGAATAATTCTTACATTATTTTATTGTTTGTCAATTTTACAATTTTACCATATTTTGCATACACTGGCTAACATTTGGCGAAAATTTGATGAAAATCGGACTGATTTTGAGCGCGCAGTAGCGATTTTCCACAAAACGCCAAAAAGGGTGTCCTGTAACCTTAATAAGTAATAGTACGGTTTCTCGTGGAATTTGGAAAAACATACACTCGTGAGTTTTCAAAGATTTCAAATTGCACTCGTCCTTCGGACTCGTTCAATTTTGATCGTCTTTGAAAAACTCACTCGTGCATGTTTTTCCCAAATTGCACTCGAAATGGCATACTATTACCTATACTTATACTGTTTACAGTTGATGGCATATTTCAAGGTGATATGTGAATTACTTCAGCTCGGAAAGCCCGAAGAGAGAGCCTCGTTTTCGGGATTGAGTCTCGTTTTCGAGATATTGGCTTTAGAGCCTTTTATATCTTGTCGTTGATGACCTATTTATATCAAGGTCTAATTGTATATTATCTAATCTGATAACTGTATGATTTTGTAAATATGTCACCTTTAACAAGATCAATAAAGGGCTCTAAATCCAACATCTCAAGAAATCACGAAAACGAGGCTCGATAGTCGAAGCTGAATACTTTCCGGAAGGTTGTATTAGTAAGGAAGTCCGTATAATACCTGCATGACTATATGAGATCAATGATTCATATTCCGCCCTCACATTCTCTGCGCATCAATTATTTTTTTAGTACAACCGGCCGCCTAATATATTACAATATGTTGCTTTATTTATTTCTCCCTAGAAGATACCGAGTCAATTGTATAAACGTTATTGTAAGTCGGTTAAGCCTGTTTTCCAGTAGGTGAATTAGTTCGCGGGACCACATCAGCAAAAGCGGTGCCGACAAAGCCGGAAAAAGTCGCTCCGCACGAACAAATTCGCCTAATGGAAAATGAACTTTATGATGGCAGAATAGATATAGGACCTGGATTTGAGCCATGTCAAACACAATTCAAACGAGTACTTCGATTTTAAATTTTAAAGCCATGTTCTTTTGAAAAGCCTTTGAAATGTTACTTTTTGATAACTATTAAACAGTTATTGACAAAATCTTGCAGTCGCTATAACTCTAGCTACTCCGTCCTTAACTCAAGAGATCGAGAAAATGTAAATTTGCTACTATAGCGTTTTTCTTGGCATGCAGTTTGATTTATGGATGCAATCCAGACGTACTGCCTTTCTATTTCCTCATGTTGCTTTTGTGTTATTACATCGCCTATATTACATAAATCGTTTTATTACATGATGTGAACTTAACAGACGTCTATAGTGATCGATCGTTTTAATTTTCATTATTGCATTTCAATTTTTATATGTCCTTTGACGCAAACTGCATGCACTCAATATCATAATATATTAATACATATATATAATATCAATCACAATTATTCAGAGCATTATATAAATTCAGAACCCCCATCGTGAAAGTAAAAATCATTTTTTAACATCTTGGAGACAGAAGGTAAGATTCATTTCATAAATTTATTTTATACTTTTTCATAAATTTTGTACTTGTACTTGCATTTTATTTAATTTATATTGCTCGCTCCGATTTAATTAACTTGTTTCGTCTTGCATATTCAATTTTATATAAATACTGCTTGTTCTAGTTTTTCATCTTTGGAAAAATGAGAAACCATACGCACAGTGTAGGACGTTTGTCGAGTTACAGTGCAAAACCACGTGCACTAAACCCAAGTTCCACTATAGGCGAACGGTTTGAATTAATAGTTTTGATAAGACTTCTTATTTAAATAAACTTGTGTGTGTCTTTTAAGGAGGTTTATTGAACATTTTACACACACAATAATGAACCTGCACCAGATTTAAACTTCGAAGAAATTGTGATGCGTAAACTGAAGCTTTAATGCTTTCTTATACAAATCTTGGAGAACACACGCCTTTTAAAACCGTAACATTTTATATAATGTTTAACATGAGTTTAATTTAATACATTTTATCTTTAGTTTATCTTTGATCATGGAAATTACAAATACCTGGATCCATTATTTGATCTTTTCATTGATCGTCGCCATTGCCTTGTTGGGAAATTCTCTGGTCATCTATGTCTTGTTTTCTCGACGAAAAACCTTTCTCAATAAACCTTATGGTTTCTTTATTTTGAACCTGGCATTTGCCGATTTTCTAACTGCCATATTTTTGATTTTCAGGTAAGGTGTGTATATACTATAGCAGCGTAAAATAAAGACAGGATGTTATGAGTGCTACCGAGAATGTCATATCGACTTTTGATAGGATTTAACACTTTCTACCGCGCTTGAGTCCGGTGGCGTAGCCAGGGTCTCAATTTGGGGGGAGGGGCAACATTTTTATTGCATTTTTTGCGGAAAATTTTGAACTTTTAGATTCATTCACTTATTTTAGGACGAGGTTTGAAGAAAAGTTACAACAACAAAAAGCCATTCTCAAGTCGCCAAATGCTGTTAGATCGAAAAAAATAAGTTTGTAACACATTGTACTGCACACAGAAACACAACAGCAACAGCAACTTCGTTTTTGAAGTGGAAATTGTAATAAAAAGAATGAAGCTCACTTGGCCGCCATATTTGAACGTTCCAGTCGCTCATGACTGCCGCTATGTGCGTAAATTCAAGTTCAAATTTGCTTTCAATCTTCATAGGTATTTTTTACTGGAATTAGGATTCTAGATAGGGAAGATACAAAACAAGTGTAACTCCAAAGATCGATAATATTTATATATTTTTATATTTATCAAAAGATAGGGAAGACTACTGCAACTTTTATTGGTAAACAGTAGAGATGGGTATCATTATTCACATATATTGTACCCCCTCCCCCAATTTCTGCAAGGAATTCAGCCTTTCACAAGGGCAGTCTTTTTGCCCAGTGGCGGGGGGGGGGGGGAGGGTGAGAATCCCCACTTGCCCCATTCCCTTGGCTACGCCACTGCTTGAGTCAGTATGTTCATCCTGTAATACTCATCATCATCAAATTTTCTAGTCGTTTCCTCTACTTACCTTCGACGCCAACCTACAGCGAAACGGCTGCTGAAATATTCTGTAAGACAATCTGGTCAGGATGGTGTACCTTCGCTTTGGGTTATATTTCCATATACACCTGCGTATCGTTGACTATCGAACGCTGGATAGCTGTTGTCAAACCCAACACATATCGCTCATTGAAACCAAAACACGGTGTCCTAGCTGTACTCTTTGTCTGGATCTGCGGCATAGTGGCGAACGCGTCAGTTTTCTTGCGAATAAAGTACGATCCTGGTAAAAATCTCTGCAGATGGGCACCTTTTCCTTTTGCAGCGAGAGTGTTTCCATGGATAGATTTTACAGTGCAGTCTATCATTCCTTACACTACCATGGTGGCGTTGTATACTCATATCTATTTCCGAATGAAGAGTTTACCTCAGATTTCTTCAAATAGCGATCCCCAGCTGAAGAAGGTCACAATTGTAGCAGTGTTGACATGCTCGGCTCTGATTCTCGGATGGCTTCCAGGCCGGATCACATTCATGCTATCAAAGTTTGGTTACGTCAATACAAAAGGTATCCTACACAATTCATTTATCATGATGACCTTTTGTAATAGTTGTGCCAATCCAGTGCTGTACGGGATGTGTAACTCCAGGTTCCGTGCAGAGTACAAGATTGTGTTTAATAAAGTATTGACACTATGCGGTACTTCTGTAACACCATCTTCTTCCGCTGCTGTGCCTGATTCCACTGGAATACTTCATCTGCCTCGAAGTTCAGTCAAGTCCGATGTGCAACGAGGAACTCACGAACAGAGTACGTTGTAAAATTTTACATGGTATTTTAAACTCGAGGTGAGGTGACAAACATTTAAAATTTTCCCTTTTGCAGCACATTATTTGTATCTTTCTGCACGATATAGAAAACATGAATGGGAATTTACAAAGAAAGTGCATTGTAATATATTATTTGTAAAATTTGAGTTAAATCCTGTGGAATCCTCAACAACATGAGTGAAAAACATTTCCAATGTTTTCACTCCTGTCGTTATTGTAAATTTGTGCATGATATAGAGAACGTGAATGTAAAATACGATATACTGTATAGTCCTAGATTTCGAGCTAAATATCAGACTGTGTTTAATAGAGTATTGACACCGTGTACAGTGCATAATTCCGCTGAAGCAAGTTCGTTGGCTATTTGGCACTACTGTACATTATGTCAATAATTCCACTATACTATTTGGAATACAAGAGAACTTCTTCTCGCTCTTTTAAGTATGGTGGGATCGTTCTCTGGTACGCTGACGCCAACAATCTCTATCCCTATGGTGTTCTTATATCTCTTCCAGGGCCTTTTATAACAAATAAGCTGGAGGCTTTTGCTCCCCAGTCTCCCTTTGTGCCCCCTCCCCCACGAGTCAATATTTGCCACACCACCATTCAAAGTCCTTTTTCTCTAAAATATAAGTAAAACATTGGAAGAAAAATGAAATTTAGAAGCGAGGTTTAATATTCTAGTCAACTGAAATTTGCTTTGTGAATCTTATGTCATGTCTTTCTGCTAACCATTGTGTTGTAAATACCTTAGATTTTAAAAATTTCCCAGTGGAAAGCATATCCCAAACCCTATAGATTTGATTTGTTGGCAGGCCAGGCTAAACAAGTTAGTGACCGAGTTGTGGTATTTACTTAAACATACCATACACGCACTTAACTGAAGATTCAATCTATCTATGGTATAATGTAACGCTGTATACCAAAAAATCTGTCTCAGAAAACGCACGAATTGCAGTCCTAGTGTGGAAAAGTACAAAAAAACACCCTACTATTTCATACGACTTTTTTCACCAACAACAGTCTGTCATCTCTTCACACTCAGTATAGTATGGCCCCTTTCTGTAGATTGTCCCCCCCCCCACACTGACGAATTCTTAAAATAGGCCCTGCCCTCCCAATATTTATTCATTCCTTCTACACTCTAAAAACACTCTGGTTAAAATTGCCAGGTTAACTTAGAAATAACACTATTTGGGTTAACTTAATATGTTTTGTTACAGATTTTTGCACTGTTGTTACAGATTTTTGCATTGCTGTTTGGGATTAAATGCACTGAAAACCAACCAATCACAGTCATGTAATATTTCTATGTATATTATTAATCCGGCTAAATCTCCTGCTTATTTTAACTCACTTCTTACCATAAGTCTGGTTAATATAACAAGGAATCTGGTTATATTTGACCAGGATTGTCCTTGTTGAAATAACCAGTTTACGCAAGGTGGATATACATAACCAGAGCTCTTGCTCATTTATCCACCTAGCATAGTTTGGTTGGGTGGGTTAGCGCTAACCCTGGGTTAAAATTTAACCTGCTGTTTTAGTTTGTGTATAGAAGCATGCCTGATTATTTCAAAACTTCAGAGAAGTAAACTCGTATCGATCCAGACAAGATCTCTGAAGAAATATTTCCAAAATCATCATTTTCAAAACCGTCAGGAAGTTTGCTTTTAATTTTAGGTTAACCTAGGGTTAGGCTAACCCAGCTTTGAACAACCGGCCCCTGGTTAATAAACCAGACTATACTACTATAGTAAGAAAAGGTTAAAATAACCAGTTAAACAAGACATTTTTAGAGTGTTTTTAAACAGTGTATTGAATGTCTCCGTGCTAACTTGACTATAGATTGTCTTCCTCCTTTCTCAAAATGTGACCAAACAATTTGTACAGTGCATTTATACAATTGAAACTTAAGTATGTAATTTGGTTGAGGATTTCTTTTGATTTTGCGTGCGCGTTTTTTTTTCTTTCTTGGGAAAAAAACAAATTTAAGACCCGAGGAACCATAAACACTATTTCAAATCTGCATGTAACATACAAAAGCGAGAAAAACAATTTTGTAATTTGTTAGTTACATTAATTTTACGAATTACAACGTTTAGATCGCAATCTACGTAGGGGCGATAGAGCAATCAGTCACTTCTCTGTCTCTGAACAATAAAATAGTTATACAGAATGACAATTTTGTCATGGTGACATTTAAATAAACGGTTATCTTTAGTTACTATATATAAATACATACAATAGCGTGTGAACCATGCCCATAAGGTAAATAATAAATGTAAAGAGTTCATGTAAAATAATTTGATATCGGTATAACTGCAAAAATGTAGGTCTATAACTGTCAATACGGCCGATATAAATATCAATCGTGTATACATAGAAAATGTAAATAAAATCTTCTGTCTGAAGCCCAGTTATAATGCAATATGTTAACAATTTGCTTGCAATTTCTTACTGAAATACATTACCTACTTTTTGCATGGTCTTTGTTAATCGTCAATGATTTTCTGAAATATAAGCAGTTAATGTAATCGTGTTTGACGATTGTACAAATGTACATGCAATCTGGGCATATCAATTGCCCCCTGCAAAGCGCAAACGAGTATTCGTGGTGAAAATATGAGGTGTCCACTTGACAATGCAATTATTTTCAAGCATCACTCAGACTTGATATCTGCTTATTAGAGAGAACTTTATGACATATTTGGCTCGGAATAAAGGATAAGAAAGGATGATCTTTTATAAAGTTTTGGTGCAAAGAGGCCCCGCTTGCTTCCCCCATTGCGAGTTCTAGAAATTCCCAACAATCTCCCCGACTTTTCACGAGATCATAGATTATCAACTTTTTGCTTTGCAATTGCGCATGCGCTGTTAAAAACATGCATTAGTCGTTCTCAGTGGCAGACCCCTTGGATAACCTAAATTCTTACTTTTTTTCGGAAGATGTTGGGTTTTGGTATTAGTTTTGACAAAAAGTATTTGTGTTTTGCCATGCAGGACCATGCAACATGTTTCCTCGAGTACAGAGGAAGAGATGTCCATGATTATCAAAACAAGCGTACAAACCGTATTTTCAAAATGTTCATCTAATTAGATCCATCATTATCACTCCTGAGCTGAGGTCCACATTTGTGGCAAGTACGATCTGGGAAGGGGGTGGGGAGGGCGGTGGAAAAGAGTACTCACTTCTCGCTTGTGATAATCTTCACAATACACCCTTCCAGATCGAAAGTAAAACAGCCTCGTTTCCGTGATTTAGTCATCAGCTTTAAAGATCTCTACCTAGCTTGTAACTGATGACAAATTATAAACAGGTCTTTTATATTCACCGATATAACTGTATGATTTCGTAACTGTATGATTTCGTAACTGTGTTCATTTGCAACAAGATAAAGCGCTCGATCTAAACCAAACATCAGGAAAGCGAGGCTCTATAGCCAACACTTGGCACTTTCCGGAAAGTGTTATGAACGACCTCTAACGACCTTGGAATTAATGTGCAGTAGTATGGAAATAATTAAAATCAATGCTGGAAACTTTTCTCAGCTTATCAACTTAGTAAATTCGTGAAGCTATATACTGCATAAGTACTCTTTGACGATGAATGATGAAAATATGTAATGTGAAATATTTCATTGACGGATTGTTATAGTAGAGTTATAACACATAAGTGATATATTATTTAATAAGGAATCCACTTTCCTACGGAGAACAGTTACATAGCTTTAGCTGACGTCACTATACAAAGCAGATTTCTTGCACTGACTTTGATACAAATTCAGTATTAAAAGGTTTGCTCGCTCACGCATTGTATTGTAACACAATGGCAGTAACCAGGAACAACACAGACAGTCTGTTGCTAACAATCATCCGTAATCATCAACTTAATTACATAAAGCCCATAACAAACACTAATTTCACACGGTTTGATATTGGTTGATTGAACCACGCGAAAACAAGGCTGTAAGAAATTATACCGGTATTTTGCGTAAAGGAAATGTTTTAATATCGTTTAATGTTGTGCATATTAGGATATCATTTTTTATAAAAACACGATCACATTCTAGACTGCATAGCGCGTGCACAATATACAGCAGTGTATATAGTCCTAAAATTTTAACAAGCCGGGGGGAGGGGCTCTTCAAGGGAGGCCTTGGGGGTATGAACCGACAGAAATATTTCGTTTCTTGCAGGTGATGCACAGTACATGACTTATTTGTATTTCAAATGTACAATAATGCCAAATCTTACTAAATTTATTACAGGGACGTGTGGCAAGGGACGAGCCGACGAGAACTTGTTGTGGGCCCCTGCCTTCATGGGCCCCTAAAATTAAAACATCGGAAAAGATAAAAAATATAAATTTTAATTTTGAAAATCAAGATTAAAATAATACAATTTATATTTTAAAAATCTAAATTTATGTAAATATTACCGAAAAATTTAACAAATTACGGTACATCAATTCGAAAGTTACTGAAAAATGCTCGCCTACAATTTTGTGGAAAAAAGGTTAATTAGCGACTGAAATGTTTCATGTTTGATCAGTAATACCCCCACCCCAATCTTGAACCATCCGTCACTGGGCCTGGGCCCCATCAGACGTTGCTCATTCGTCGTTCCTTTCAAGACCTAAGCACGTCTCTGATTTATTATAATTTGCAAAAACTTGTTATATCATATTATCAAAGATTCTTTCTGTCTTGATAAACTAATCTTAAGGATCATCCCCTTAAAACTGTAAACCCTAGACATACAGTGTACGAACATACAGTGTACGAGAAAGACCAACAGTGAACATATATGTAGACCAGTGATTATAATTAGCCATTTCCCAAAGTCCTGGGTCTTGTCGCACGAATTCCATGTTGGAGGGACAAAAATATGGCAGCACACATTTAAAGTAAATGTCTAATGTAAAAAGGAGATATTTCATTTTTGGTCGTCTAAAAAGTTGATATTTGACAGTGATACTTCTACTCTTTCACATATTTGGCGCCTGTCCCCATATATTTTGTGCCTCCAAACGATCCCAGAATGCACTGTGATCTCTTTTGGGAAAAGGCTAATTGGCCTTGTTAAGGTTGAGATGTCCATAATTTTTTTCTGTGCCGGAAACGTCACATATTATTTGAAAATATGCCTGCAAAATATCTGCATGAAAAAGCGGAATGAAGACGTGATGGGCCATAAATGTCTATAGTTTACTGACTCAGCTCAGTCTTTCATGACTTGATGCATTCCCCCAATGAAATTAACTACAATCATGCAATATAATAATGACTAAAGGTCTTTGTTCATGGCTGCGAGTTAACAAAGATTTTGATAGACTAATTGTAACAGATTAAGAATTAGTACTAAAATGTATAATTAAATCAAAGAATCGTTTCTGAAAGTTTTGGAAATTGTGCCTACAAAAAACCTTGTTTCGTTTCTGATGACCGTCGGCCCCAGCGGTCCCAACTTTACCGTCCCCTGCCAAGAGGTCTCATTAAGATACATATGATAGAAAAATTTAAATCTGCCATAGTGGGCATTAATTATCATGGCTTATTATCATGTCGAGTGATCTCAAACGAAATTACAACTTAATGGTCTTAAATTGGTAGCAATATTTTGTATACCATTTAAACGTATATCATGGTTCACCGCAAAGTATACAAACATAGAAATTATTAGTTTAGACGCCCGTACACGTATTTATAATAGTTTTTCGAATTTCCAACCAACCAGCCAACTGCTTTACATTCAAAGTGGGAGAAAACAGAGAAATCTTGCATATTTTGTTCTTTGTGGTCTTGCACGCAACGGCGTGCTTAATTTTCTGGGACCAATATTACCAAGTAAGGAAATAGCACTCAGTTCTGACTCCATTTGCCAAAGGGTATAACTTGGTAATGAGAAATAGCTGCAATTAATTCTGATCTAGAATGGTCAATGGCTTAATTGATACATATACAGTTAATTGTAACTATAGTTCTTTCTTAACTGATGCTTGGTCGTGATCAATGTCACAGCAATCTCCATGTTCAACGGGAATACTTGGTTTACCTTCCTGATATTTACTTTGATTGTCGTCGTTGCTTTACTGGGAAATTCTTTAGTCATCTATGTCCTTGTCGTGCGACGAAAAAAGTTTCTCAATAAACCTTACAGTGTGTTTATTTTGAATTTGGCAATTGTAGATTTTCTGACTGCCATATTTTTAATCGTCAGGTAAGATGTTTTTTATGATTCTTATAAATAGAAGTGAGATATTGAGAGCAGTGATTGTTGTGATTCATAACAATGTCTGGTTATGATATCTAGCTAGTTATAGGCGGATAAGTGCCAAGTTTAGATTAAATTGTGCACTTGAAGGAAAAGGCATGGCATTTGGCAAAACGATAGTTCTCGGTGTGCTTATTAATATGGTAGGGATATGAAAAAGTAATGTTTGTGCCTCAAAATTTCTTAGTACAATTTTCTTACAATTTGCCTGTAAAAATACCATCTACTAGAAAACGTGAAGTTCCAAGTTCATGGATAGCAAACCGAATAACCTATTCCATTATACAGGGCCTTTCGAATTATTATCCAAAAGGTAAAAACATACTTGAATATTGCAAAAAAAATCATTTTGAGCAAATATAGACCTGACGTAACTGAAAATTGGGGAGAGAAACCCCACAATGTAAAATACTGGTTCACCAGTATGCTATGTAGCTAATCCTTTAATAAAGTTCAAGTTAAAAACAAGCAAACCGCTTAATATAGCTTATACTGTATAGTTTTTTTCAAGCTTTCTGATGATGTAGATTACATTTATTATAAATGAACTTAACTTTTCACACTTTTTTAGATTATACTTCTATACTATAGGGTAATGTAAAAATACTTCTATACTATATGGTAATTTATGTTTATTATTTGTATGTTATTTAGCTACAGAGCTATATTTATTAAGCCTAGCAGGGCTGTATCTAGTAGATATACTGCCTTCTTATAATAAATAATTCACCCACAATGACTCAAAATTTTAGGTAAAAATGTCTCAAATTTATGAGCAAACTGCCATACTTAAATGTACTCAATTTTTTGAGTAAAGATTCGATAATGTCATTAATAATGAGAGGGGGGAGTGGGCGGTGGTTCAGAAATTCCCAACATTCTACATGTTCTTGAGACCGCCCCCAAATGGCAAGACATTTATTTGGGAGCCCCTGTATAGTCCACTTAGTCCATATCGAGTAATTTATTAAACTTTGTTGTATGATTAAAAACTTGGAATTGAATTGCAATCACGTGAATAAAACCTACATGAAGTTGTAGATTGCATGCAAAGTGTTTTTTTAAACTACTAATGTACTTGTGCATCGTACTTAGCAAATGCTATCCACCGGGACACCCACTACTAAATTAATGACCGGTCCCTTAAAAGGACGTATTTTTCCACCCAACCTTTCCTGTCAATTAAAACCAACCCTGACATTCATTCAATATATACATGTACCTAGATCGACCTATTTAAGTTTAAAAAAGTATGTGTCACTTCACTTTTTTGGCACTCACTCAAATCTTGCTGCACGAAACATTTTACAAATATTTTTCTCTTAATTAAAGCTGTCGGCTGTTCTGCAGTTTTCTTGAATAACGAAAACTAAATATAGCATTTTTACTCTGGCAGTCTGTCTTGGCCTATATTTTTTATACACAACCTTTACATCACACGAAATTTCGTTTAACCAAGTTGCAACCATTTTCTCCCCCCCCCCCCTCCCTCTCCTCAGTCAGACAGTCCTGAAGGGGAGGGGGTCTCGATCCCATTTCCCAGCCATTTTTGACCAAATCCCAATTTCAACATTAACTTAAAAGAATATTTCTGAACAGGTATTTCACCTATGTGTTGACTTTTAAAACACAATATCCTGCTTTCAAACGCTCTTTCAATTCTGAATAATTTTACAAAGTGAAAGTCTATAAATACCTGTAATTTTGCTGTAGTCACATACTAGTCATACTAATAGTAGAATAATGACCTCGAGCCGAAAAACTACGGAATACAGTCTTCCAGGGCATTTTTAGACAAACTCTCAATCAAAAGTAGCTCCGTAGCTTTCCTCCAACAAATGTTATGTATAATGGTATGTATATGGTTTCCCTATTCCCATTTTTGCGTCTGTCATTCCCGGTTCCAGTAACCCAAATCCAGTTCCCATGTTAATTGGCCCTTGTTCACGACCTTCCAGCCATAATGACCAATCCCTATACAACGTATTTTTTATCTTGTAGTCGTTTTCTCTATCTTCCGGAAACACCAACTTACAATGACACTGCAGCTGAAGTATTTTGTCAAACCATCTGGTCAGGGAGGTTTGCATTCGACATGGGTTATATTTCTGTATACACATGTGTTGCCTTAACGATAGAGCGTTGGTTTGCGGTTGTAAAACCAAACAAATATCGTTCAGCGAAAACGAGGCATGCTGTTTATGCCGTTATCTTAGTGTGGTTCTGTGGTCCTGCTGTCAATTGTACTACCTACTTTCGTATAAAATACAACGTTGAAGAGAAGAAATGCGTATGGAGAACTATCCCATTTGCAGAAGAAGAGCTACCCTGGATTGCTTTAGCTGTACAATCCATAATACCTTATACTACAATGGTAGTGTTATATAGCCATATCTATTATACATTGAAGAAGTTACCACGGCTTACTTCGAATAGAGATATACAACTACGGAGAATAACAGTGGTTGCATTGCTGGCATGTTCAGCGCTAATCTTAGGATGGGTGCCTGGTCGTGTTACGTTCATGCTAACAAAGTTTGGTCACCTCGATCCAAATGGAAGCATTCACTTCACCTGCGTGATGATCACATTTCTAAACTCGTGTGTCAATCCCTTTTTGTATGGGATATATAGTCCGGCATTTCGAGCAGAGTACAAGAAGGTGTTTCATTACTACTATCGTAAAACCGTGACTGTTTTTCGTCATAGTCATGTAAAGCCCACTCCTGATCAAGTGCAAGGCAATTCACTGTCTGAAAAAGCGGTGTCTACGCTAGAGCAAGGGAAAGCCAGCTCACTCTCTGTGAAGGCTGAATATAACGAAGGATACGCATTCACTGTAAAGTCAGCATCTGAACAAGGCAATTCAATCGCTCTAATGCCAGTACCTAACCTAGCCAGGATACCAAATGATGAATCTGCCAAAGTAGCGCCAAAAGAATCTTATATGGAATGTAGTCTCTAAATTTTGTGTGCTATTTTAACTCGAACAAAATATGGTAAATTAACAATTATGTACAGTACTAACATTATGCATTCAATGTTTAGATACTGTACAAAATTACTGTCACAGAAATGTTTTGTCTATAACGTCACGTACGTCCGTGATGATATCAGTAAACACACCGACGGAAACTGAGCCAAGAACGCTTTTTTACCGATAAAAATGAAGAAATTCCTTTGAAATCCCATGCCCACCCTTTTGTACCCTCATACTAACCACTGATAATTTTTAATTTTTTTTGCGAACTCATTAATAATTTATGAAGAAAACACAAAAGAAATCATGAGCACAAACGAAATTATGTTTGGTTATGAGAACGAAAGCTCTGACAAAAATATGGAATCGAAATAAAGTATATTACAGGAAATATTCAGTTGTTTTAATCACAAAATGGATTTCTATTTGACAACTAGTGCCAGTACTTTTCCGCGTATCAAGATCACCTGGTTTACATAAACTTTAACTTTGTCTTATTTGAAAGAACTTTTAAAGTTATATATGAAGACCCTTTTTCTTACCTTGCTTGGTTTTCGAAATATTTTGACCAAAAACAGTGTGCAGTCCGCCATCTTGGTATTATAATTGACCTAATTAACTCAGTTCTTGATGACGTCAAAAGCAGGGTAAACTTGTTAAAACTTCTTCATGTGGGACTAAATTTCTTCGAAACGTTTCTTAAAATGTTGTGAGATAATTGAGTACTAAACAGACTTCGGAAAATCGAGTTTCATATTGATAATGACAAGTGGTTTGCAAGATAAAAATTTCGCTTTTTACCCTACTTGTGACGTATGCATATCGAATGCATATCCAAGATGGCGGAATACACGCTGCTTTTGATAAAAATAAGTCTATTTATTTCGAAAACCAAGCAACATACGGAATAATTGTAAAGGAAGTTTATATATCATTTTAAATGTTCTTTCAAATAAGACAAACTTAATTTATATTACCATATCCCTTTAGGTTTAATTTTCTCACCAAATATCATTCATTTATTCTAAATTGTTGAAGAATACGAATGTTCTCATCGAGACGTTTCACACGCTATATAAAGCATTCGCGTCAGTGTTGTATCAGATATACAACCTCTCGTCTTCGGTTCGAGTTTGTATATATATCTGATACACATCTATTACTTAATTAGCCTTTCTCACGATGACGAATATCCGCCATTCTTGGGTAGGTGGCATCTAATTCTCGTTAACCAATGCAGACAATTAAAACAATGTGAAAAGCACTTTTTCAAAATAAACTAACCATTCACAAAGCAAATTTACCATCATTTGTCAAAGAAATTATAAAAAGTCGCTGTTATATGGACTTATCTCGCAGACTTCGTCTGAAAAGCCACCCAAAAATGGCGGCGTGAGAAAGGCTAATTAAAGCCCGGGTAAAAGTTCTTTCAGAACGTATAGTAGATAGATATTTTATTTTTCCCGTACACATTTACAGTTTTTATAAATATAAAGATATATGGAAGGAAGACTAACAAGCCCGTCAGGGCTTTAAATTTCTAGTAGTTTACCCTAAAAACTTAAAAAACTCAGTAGTATAACAAAGAAAATGGAGTCAGATAATGTCAGATTCTAGATAAATGGGGTAAACTAATACAAATTTAAGCTTATAAGGTTATAAATAATTATTGTGTACATCTTTTGTGAGTATAATTAATAATCTTCTGAAGAAAGAAGATATAATTTTAGATTGCACTTAAATATGTATTTATACTATTGCTATTTTTAATGTATTCTGTCAGCATATTCCACACTACAGTGCATCTGGGTTTTTTGTGGAATACGGTTCATAGTTTGTTTTATCACAGGAGGCCCAGGCTCGATTTGCCCGCGCCCGCCTGTGCCTTCCTTATAACGAGGGAAGGAAGGAGACATTGAGACCAAAATAGCCCAGACTTGCATATGTCACACGAAACTATCCTCGATTTTTCACCTTTAAATGCATTTCTTTCACGATTAGTCGATATCCCCTGCAAGAATGATACCGTATAACTCTCAAAACAACGATGCTTTAATCAAAGAGCTTAAATTCGCTCTAAACTTCGTGAGGGAACGACAAAATTCGGCCAAAATATATCCGCGTGCCGGGTTTCCTGGACAAAAAGCGGAAGTCGTTGAACAACACAAAATACACTCAAACCTGATTGGACAACGAATATCAACAAACATTTCAAATTATTTTAACAGTACTGTAATAATTTCAATCATACAAACAAAACTATTCACAAACGTTATAATAAAGCGTAAATATTACTGCATGTAAATATAACTGTAGTACGTTAATATGTATAATAAATTGTATTTCACATTGTCGACATTGTGTTTGTCAAAATAATTTGAAATGTTTGTTGATATTCGTTGTCCAATCAGGTTTGAGTGTATTTTGAGTTGTTCAACGACTTCCGCTTTTTGTCCAGCAAACCCGGCACGCGGATATATTTTGGCCGAATTTTGTCGTTCCCTCACGAAGTTTAGAGCGAATTTAAGCTCTTTGATTAAAGCATCGTTGTTTTGAGAGTTATACGGTATCATTCTTGCAGGGGATATCGACTAATCGTGAAAGAAATGCATTTAAAGGTGAAAAATCGAGGATAGTTTCGTGTGACATATCCAAGTCTGGGCTATTTTGGTCTCAATGTCTCCTTCCTTCCCTCGTTATAAGGAAGGCACAGGCGGGCGCGGGCAAATCGAGCCTGGGCCTCCTGTGGTTTTATTGTAGTGTTTGTGTACACGCGTAAAAATCATCATGTTGATGCAAGTTGTTCAAAACAGGAGCGAACAATGTTGTGCTGCACCTTGTGAACAATATTGTTAACAAGTTGTTGAACCATCAACATTGTTGCAACTTGTTGACAATCATGTTAACAACTTGCAACAGTACTGATGGTTGAACAACTTGTTAACAATATTGTTCACGGGGTGCAGCACAACATTGTTCACTCCTGTTTGAACAACGCCGAACAACCTGATCAATTTTTACCCGTGTAATTTCATACAGCCTCTGGTATTATGGCTATGAATAACATTGTTTCTTACGCAAAGTGAATCAATAAGAATCTTTGGAGCGTGAATATGTCAGAAAAAAGAAAAATGTCCAGCCTTAGATTTAGTATTTTTGTGAAAGGGAAATGCATCCTTTTTTGAAGACACGGAGGTAATAATAATATTAATATTAATAATCCTAATTATAAATGATAACGAGTTTATTAAATGAGAATAGTGGAAACTACATTAAAAAAGATAAAAGTTCTTTAAAAGTTAGTATTTGTCCGTGAGATAAATTGTTTTTGTTTTAATTAACTAAGGATTAAATTAATTTTCATTGTTATTAAAAGTCTAAACAATCCTTCCAATTTCGTTAAGTATTTCAATGCTGTTGATGTCATAGTTCACTTCTTGCTTAATTGTTCTAGATCCTCTTTCGAACAATACTGCAGATCATAGTAAGTTAAAAAACAGTTTTGCTCTCAGCCAATGCTTTACCATGTTATATTCAACCTGCTTCCTCCCCGACAGTTTCATTGCAAGTTCTGCAATGAATCGCTCAGGTTTCGCTGCTATTTCTTATTTATATAGCTCATGCACAATTCCAAAATGATGTTCATGGCGCTTCACAATAGTATTTCAGTAAAGAAACGTAAAAACTACGTATTATTAAGAAATGTATATAGATTAATCTACCAAAATAAATATTTACTATTAAGAAATTTAGAGAAGAGAAAGATACGTTTTAAACTGTTCGAGAGTCCAAGGGGCAAAGCAGAAAACGCCTTGTCTCCATACGATTTAGTCAGTACAAGTTCTGGGTTTAACTAATACAGTAGTTCGTTAGATACAGATCGCAATGATCTATAGAGCTTTGGCGCACTACGATAGTGTAGCATGTGTAACAATAAAATCTTAAAATCTATGCGATATGTACTGGCAACCAGTGTGAAGGTCTAACAATGGACCTTATTCATAATGACGTCACAAGGCTTGATGCCCGCGAGGAATGCTGGTCTTAGACAATTCAAAATGGCCACTATCGAAATCTCCCAGGCGATAGCTACTAAGAGTGACCAGCATTCCTCGCAGGCATCAAGCCTTGTGACGTCATTGTGCATAAGGTCTATTAACGCTGTATATATATTGACGGATTTTGTAGATGGAAATATCGAGTGTAAATTTATTTTCATTTATTTAGACCTACCAGTAGCTGCATGGGAAAAATGCCGATGTATGATTCCAGCTATATACTAAATTTTGATCTAGGAAGAAAAAACACAAAATCCATCACCACAGCTAGAAAGAGCGTGTTAAAATATGTGCGTGACGTGAGCGTGTGACGTGACGTGACGCGCGCTGCGCGAACAGCGAGTCAAATCGCTCCGTAAAATTGTCAATTTTTTACCTCATTTCTTCGTCTTCGTGGGGTAAATCTCTTATAAAATTGTGGATAAAGTGTTTATCTTTGGAAAAGTTAAGTTGGTTTGGTGCAATCTTCAATATTTGCTTTATATTTTGGTGGATTACTTGTCAAATCGCAAGAAATTCAGTTGATTTTTAAGCTCGCGAAGTTGGACGGTTGATTCTGACGTGCGCATACAGTGACTCAAAGAACAACTACGAACCGCGTTCGTTTCGAGCGCGTGCAGAATAACAGCCATCGATTAGAACAATTATAACAACAATCCCGTTTTAATCAGAACTTTTTGGAAAAATACCAAGAAATGATGCTTAAAATCCGCCAAACTTTTCCCATATCGACGTCATTTTGGATCTTGTTTCTCGTGGTATCTTTCTGGCTATCTACAAGATCTAAGCCTCAGCTTATAAACCCCAAAGTCAAAACAGTTCCTTGGAATGTTTCAATCGCTTCAGAACTTGCATCACTTCCAAATAGACTGGGATGCCTTTGGACTTCAACTCACGACAACATCTTACGGAAATATACCTGGCCTTCAAAGTCTAACTATCGCTATGGTCTGCAATTTAATATTAAGAATAATACGCTACATCTATTCCTGTGTATCCTGCTCGCTGGTGATATTGCCACCAATCCCGGTCCTACCTGCAAAACTACAAACTTTTCTATAAAGTGCGCCACAGTGAATGCCAGAAGTTTGAAAAGTGTCCACAAAGATGTCACCACTAACTCAACTATCTGTAATCTAGAACGATTTCAAGACTTCGTTTATGGTGAAAACCTTGATGTCGTCTGTGTGAACGAAACATGGCTCAACGAGAACATCAGTAATGTGGAGATTCTACACTCTGACTACACAATCTTCAGGAAAGACAGAGTAGGACGTCATGGCGGCGGAGTCCTGGTTGGCATAAAAACAAACTCGTTTTGTTCGGTGAAGGAGTTCTCTCTTAGTTCGGATGAGGTGGAAGGTTTAGAGATCGTTTCAGCAATCTTAACAACTGCTTCAAACAAACGCCTTCTATTTTCTTCATGCTATCGACCCCCTGACGCTGAGTGCACTTGGATGGGAAAATTTAACAATTTTCTGGATCACGCTTGTGATCAGTTTGAGAACATTGTGATTTCTGGTGACTTTAATCTTCCTAATATCTCATGGGACTTAACATTGAATACATCAGGAGTGAATGAAGTAAACTTTATTGATATACTTAATGATCATTTCTTGACCCAGGTAAACTCCACACCAACTCGTGCCAACAAAGTATTAGATCTCGTGATTACAAGCGTTCCAGAACTTGTAACTGTGTCTGAGATACTCAGTCCAGAGAAAAGCGAGCTGATGACAGATCACTGTGCAATTCTGCACGAATTTTCTGCATACGTAAAAGCTCAACCAAGAACCGAGAGATTTGTTTACAATTATGGCGCTGGTGACTTTGAAGGACTTCTCAACGCATTAAATGCACTGAACTTAACGACTCTTGTCGAAGGTGCCAATGACATCAACACCGCCTGGCAAGACTGGAAGGATGTGTTTACAACAACCGTCTCACACTATATTCCGATGAGAAAAATGAAAGGACGTAATCCTGCTCCATGGATCAACGGTGCCATCCTTACCGCAATTAGAAGAAAGGAGTCAGCTCGGCAAAAACTAAAGTCATCTCCCAACAACTACCCACTACAGCGAAAATTCAAGACCTTGCGTTGTGAAGTAAAACGTATGTTACGGGAAAGTCGGAAAAAGTTCTTCACCTCTCTGGCAACTGATGTCAATCAAAGCCCGAAGCGTCTGTGGTCGGTACTAAAAAGAACATCAAAGTCAAGAAACATCCCTGACACAATTTCATCAGCAAGCAACAACGACACAGCTGGCGCAGCAACATCTCAACGAGTATCGGCCGATAACCCAGAAAGCATAGCAAACTTGTTTAATCAATACTTTGCGTCAGTATATTCTAGAGAAGAATCCAACGGGGATGCAACCAGCGGAGCTGACGAACCAATCCTAACTGATTTGACAATTAGTGAAGTCGAGGTATCCCACATGTTGAAATCTCTTGATACAGCCAAAGCAACAGGACCTGATGGTATTCCCGCTAAGTTATTAAAAGAAACAGCGGACGTTATTGCACCTTCTTTGTGCACACTCTTCAATAAGTCAATTTCCTCGGGATCATTACCAGACGAGTGGAAAACAGCCAACATAGTACCGATACACAAAAAGGGTGACAACGAACACGCCGAGAACTACCGTCCTATTTCTCTACTGTGCATTATCTCGAAGGTTTTAGAACGCTGTGTGCTAAATAACGTCAAATACCGTTTACTAGAAGCAGTCAACATCTGTCAACATGGGTTTATATCCGGACGATCTTGTGTGACTAACCTGATTGATGCCCTCAACTACGTTGGGTCATGCCTGGATCGTGGTGGACAAATTGATATGATTTACATGGACATGTCCAAAGCTTTCGATAAGGTCAACCATGATGTACTGATCCAAAAGCTGCGTAACGACTATGGTTTTGGAGGCAACCTGCTCAGATGGTTCCGCTCATATCTGACAAATCGCAAACAGCGCGTAACAGTGTTCGGAGCTACGTCAAACCCTCTGTCTGTAACTTCTGGAGTGCCACAAGGTTCTATCCTTGGCCCAGCATTGTTTCTCTTGTACGTCAACGATCTGCCGAGTACAGTTAAATCAAGTCAAGTTGTAATGTTCGCGGATGACACGAAACTCTTTAAAGAAATACGAACGGAAAACGATGCAAAACAACTACAGAACGACATTAGTAACCTCGAATCTTGGTCAACCACTTCAGGCTTATCATTTAATGGAACTAAATGCAAAGCACAGACAGTTACTCGTAAGCTTAAACCGATCACTACCAGCTACACAATGAAAGATTGTCAGTTAACATCTACCAAAAATGAGCGTGACCTTGGTGTCTGGATATCCACCGACTTAAGATGGAACAAACAAGTGAACCAACAGTGTGCTCGCGCAAACAAAGAGCTAAGTTACATTAGGAGAAACACACGGACAATCCACAACACAACAACAAGGCGAACCATCTACCTAGCTCTCGTACGTTCACATCTCGGTTACGCGACCCAAGTATGGACACCTCAGTCGGTTGAATTACTGACGAAAGTAGAAAGAACTCAACGACGTGCGACGAAATTCATCCTTAACCTGCCATTTACTTGTTCTGTTGACTATACATCCAGACTGCAGGCTCTCCAACTACTTCCAATATGCTATTGGCACGAGTATCTTGATATGGTGTACTTTTTCAAAGTAATCCACGGCTTAACAAACTCGTCCTTTGTTTTACGTAAGAAAACGAGACTGAACACAAGAGCTTCTAACAACACCAATACAGCGAAGTACGAAGTACCGCAATGCAGAACAACGACTTTCCAAAAATCTTTTTGGATTAGAACAATCAGAACTTGGAACACTTTAACGGACACGTTAGGCATAAGTATGGAAAACCTGGGCACGTTTAAGTCAGTAATGCAAAGATATTATTTTGCCGCATTGTAGAAAGCGTACGAATGTGATGATCCAAGAACATTTAAAACTATCTGCCCGAAATGCAACAGTGCAAGAACGTTAACCGAACCAGTGAACTGCTGTTTTTAGGCGTTTTAATTGTATATATGTTTGTGTTTTAATCTTTTGGGCCCACAGTAATTGGCTTTTCAGGCTGTTGTGGTTACCCAGCCATCAGTTTAGTGTGTTTGTATTTGTGTTTGTGTTTGCGTAACATGTCTGTTAAATATTTAACTGAACATCGATCAATACAGTATAAGAGGTTATCAGTGCACAGGCGTAAAGATGAGGGACGATTAGTAACTAATCGTCCCGTGGGATGATTAGTTTCTAATCGTCCCTCATGTTTTAGCAATGAGGTAAATTAGGATTTCGAGGTAGCTGTGATATTACATTCATAATCACCCTTCATTCGAATGAAAATAATAATAATTTGAGTGGGTGGCACTCGACGTATTAAGTTGCAATATTTAAACTTGTCCAACAACTGGAAAATTTCTTATGGGAATTGGTGATTATAGGGTAGAGTGCAGAGTTAATTTGTTCATAAAATTTTGGTAATTCTTATTCCTCCCAATAGTGTCAAAAGACAATTTTCTTGTAACTTGCTACGCAGTTTTGGATGCACATCCGTCCATGTATAATGTAAACAGCCGAGTAAACAGTGTCCTCAGAGAATTAGTTAGCAGGGACTTAGCGAAAACTTTGTCGTTAGGGGGGGAGGGTGTATAGAGGTCAAATTACGAGAGAATTAGTTAGCAGGGACGTAGCGAAAACCTCGTCGTTAGGGGGAGGGTGCAGAGGTCAAATTACGGATTTTTTAAAAGCATGTTTGAGATTTAGCAGCGTTTCTCCCAAAAGAATATATGTTAACATAATGGATACGGGACTAAGCCTACTAGGGGCACAGAGTAAGTAACTGAAGGTTCGGGGGATGCCCCCCCCCCCCTTCCCATTTTTACGTAAACAGAAATATTTCATTGCTTTCTTGAAACTGTCACATAGCGGGGTTGGTATTTTCGTTAGCCGTGCATTGCCAATATTCAATTCTCGTGAAATGTGAAATGATCGATTTTTGTAGTGTCGTAAAACGTAAATTACATTCCTCTATAGCCATGGGCTGCTCTTACTGGTAATTTTCGAAATTTATTTGTGACCGGTGGAACAAAGACTGGACCAAACAGAGCAATGCCTTGGATGTATTACCATTGGCATTACCTGTTACTATGGCTAGCTTCGCCATTGTAGATATATCGGTTATTTTGTAAAAAAAAAACTATGTTGCAATGTTAAGTATTATCACGTAAATCAATGTTGAAAACGCTGGTCACCAAGGAAATTTGTTCGTGTGTCTGGACGTGAAGGAAAATTTGACAAGTATTGCCATTGCCATTTGATCTCGTTTATTTTGAAATTCGCTTTTGAAGTGTGGTATCGTAGACAGTTTCAGCTGTTTTTAATATTGTCGGAATCATCTTTAATTAAACGTAAATAAACATAAAATTGTTTACGTACCTAATTAGCGTGGTTCGTAAAACTTGTCAAGGAAATTTTTATCGAAACAAATTTGTTAGTAGTACACACGAGCAAGTAAGCTCGTCAAGGATCTTGTCAAGGAAAACTTGCTCGTCTCTACGAGACATAAAGTGCATATGACATTCTCTTGTTTTTATGGTTTGTTCCCGAGATATTTCAATTTGTTTGATATGTAAATGATGTGAATATGTCCGCTAATTTATGACGTCACATTGGTTGCAAGCTCAACTTACACTGGTTATAAATCTATATATTAACTCTAAAAACTGTAGATATCAGTTTTTCTCCAGTGTTTCATCACATTTACCAGTGAGTGAAATTTGAAATTATCATTTCGGATTGTAGCAGTAATAATGATATTCAACCATTTTGAAGAGCTTGCAACCAATGTGACGTCATAAATTAGCGGACATATTCACATTCATTTACATATCAAACAAATTGAAATATCTCGGGAACAAACCATAAAAACAAGAGAATGTCATATGCACTATAAAAATTTCCTTGACAAGTTTTACGAACCACGCTAATTAGGTAGGTAAATAATTTTATGTTTATTTTCGTTCAAAGCTGCTTCCGACAATATTAAAAACAGCTGAAACTGTCTAGGATACCACACTTCAAAAGCGAATTTCAAAATAAACGAGATCAAACTATAAAAACAACAAACTGAAAAATACGTTACACTACAGCTTAAAGAGTTCTTTCATTCAAGAAAATAAGAAATTTCATGCCATATGCATTTTATAGCTGGTATGGGCGAAAGAAGACTGGGATTGCCCCACATAATATCCTGCCTCGGTGGGACGACATTATGTAAACATGGCGTCTTCAAAATATTTTTTGTTGTAATTAAACAAAACGCAGCTTGCATTACGGACTTTAATAGTGTCTGTTTTGGTCCATTAATGTTTAATTTTTGTTTCGATTTTCCAACTATGCCGTTCAATACGATATTATAGGTCAAAATCGGCAAAAATGTCTATCTTGGTCAGGTGGAATCACAGTTGTATAAACTGTGGTGGGATAAAGCGTTCATATATGGTAAATTTCATCCCACTTCACTGAGATCCCACCTACAATCATTTTCAAAAGTTGCTGGGACAATTGCGGTTTTAGATCATCAGTGGACATATGCAAATTATTACAAACATTTATATCTTCCTCCCCCTCCCCATTCAATGTTGTTTACTCGATCACACAGCGAAGTAAGACGCTAACTGAGACCCAACATTTAAAGGGGGTCGGGGGAGGGAAGTTTATCAAAATAATAGGTAGTTGGGGCATCTGCCCCCCAACCAGGGGTGCATATTAGGGGGGTGTAACCCCCCCCCCCCCCTCCCCCCAGCACTCGAAAATCACAAAAGTTTTGTTTCAGACTGTATCAAAAGTCGATCCCGAATTTCTGCTGTGAGAGTTGTTTAAGCCACAAATGTCTGGTGTAGACAGGAGCATTTTTCATCCAAATCCTTCAACCCGGTGCCGGAAAGTGCAGGAAATGGCATTTCCGAGCCTCAATTTTGAAAAATCTTAACTAAGGTTCCCAATAGAGCTGGAACTGATTAGCCCACCAAAATGGAACCTGTCCCGCTGCCCCTGGTTGTAGAGTACAAGAAAGTCGGTCCCAGATCGTCCAAATATCTGCCCCCCCCAGCAATTTATTGAATTTGCGCTCCTGCCCCAAACACATTAAATTTGAACTGATTGTAGCTTAAGATCTCACCTAGCCGGGCTGGCTCGTTTCTCATACATAAGAACACAAATTGAATTTTATATCGACCTCACTCAGGTGAACAGGCCTTATAGACGGAAACCGCCTTCTAATGTAAATTCAGCATTCAATCATGCAATATATTAAAAGCAAACTAATCGTACTACAACATTAATAACTTAGCGAATCAATTATGGGATCAAAATTAAAATTCTATTTTCATCAATCAATTTGCACGAACGCATATAGATGATGTATTGTGTTGGACGTAAATCCATTTAGACCGAATATTCATTGCACGGAAAATGATGCCCTTGCTCAGCACACCTGCTGCAAAGCTAACAGACGCCATTAACCAATCAGGTTTTAACTGTCTCTTATACTGACAGACTTGTTATTTATAGCTTGCTCTATACAAATTTACCGTTGTCAATGATAAACGGTGCACTAAACGGAACAATGCGGCGTTTGATCTTCGAAGCTCTCCATAAACAAAGTCAAGGAGTAGTTTAGTAAGAAGGAAAGAGTTAACGGACCAATACCGTCCAGTGAAAAGGTTAGATTACTTTTTACATAATATTCCTATCTACATTATTGGGCTATTTGATTTTGACTATATTTTGAAGAATAAATCACGAGGTATAAGAGGTCGTTCACGATTCGGTTACCGCGT